ATATTTCTGTTTTTCTGAAACTTTGTTCTTTCAGCTAAATATCGAATGCCAGCCACATTACGTTTCTTATAGTATGTCTGGCTAAAAATATGAAACGAGTCTAGCTAAAAATTCATTTTCTTCAACATCCTAATTGATATAGAGTGTGGTGAGGCAACACTGGTGTGCCCACAATCTAAAAAAGAAACACACCATCAAGTGCCGTGCATTCGTGTAAAACTGAGGTTGACACTTGGGCGTACAATCGGTTGGAAGAAAGGTTGTGCTGCTGCAAGCGAACTGGTGTCGCCATCTCGCCGGACGGAAAGCTGCTGAAGTGTAGTTAAGCTGTTACAAGGTGTCAACAGATTGATAAAGCATGACACTGGTTCTGTTATGGATGGAATCACAGTTGAATCCCTTTATAAGAGACATGCACTGCACAGCAATTCTTCCCTTTTATATGAGGTGTCTTTTATAAGCTGGGTACCATGTATAAGTTTTCTTTTCAACGACTATTTTGTTGTTGGCACACTGGTGTCTTTTATATCCATTACTCTCTTACATCAGCGTGCCTTATAAACTAGTTCCACTGTAAAAAAAAATGTCGTTTCTAATGTCATTTCAAACTAATGTGTAGTTTCCTACTTTCCTGCTTGAAAGTTGTTACGAATAAAAAACAATTTTTTTCGCCCCTCTTCTTTTCAAGAGCGCTTTTTTTTTTCAGACCGTACACATATGTACATTTTTTGCTTTTTAAATGGAAAGGGAATTATTTGCGAATCGCTTATGTGGTCTAACAGCTTCTTTTTCACTGTTATAAAATTTTGCTTCGGTTTCGGTTTGTGTCTCCCGACCACAAAGCAAATTTTCTTTCTTGAAAACTACACACCTGTAATTCATGAGAGAAAAAAAAACAGAATGCTCATATAAGCATCGTCTAGTGTTCCTGGTTGAAGAAAAATGACGAGAGTAGAATTTTATAGGAAACATAATTCTCCTGGGTAGTGCAATTTTGAACACTGCATGGACCATAACTTTCCCTACTATTACCAGGCTGTGGAACATTCAGCCTCGGTGACCTGACCTCCCGATCTCCAGCAGCCTTCCTTTTCTTCTTTTATTTATCATGGGAAGGTAACTAACCCCCGTATTCACAAGCTCTCTTCGACTCGACCCTTCACTCGAAACGCTCCTTGAGTGGCGTTTTCGCTTTCACAAACCGCCCTTCCCTTAAAACGCTTCTTTCACTTGAGAAAATCTCGAGCGTTTCCTCGAGATTCTCAAGGAAGCGATCGAGCTACCTTGAATCGTCCCACGAGTGAAGTTTATGCGCCAACATCGCGTCTATGGCGGAGCCCGTCTCGCTTTGATGGTGTTTCTCGATCAATTAGGCTGCCACCGCCACGTTCTTTTGACAATGACGGTACGCGTTCACGACGGAGCTGTTTTCGAACGCTTAGGCAATGGCTACTGTGGCACCGGGAGAGGTGGGTGTGGTGTCAAGAGGAGCGCTTGAAAGTGCCGTGATGTGTTGTGTTCCGTGCATGAGCCAGTGGATTCCCTGCCTTCGGGTGAGTGTATACTCGTCGTGCGAGGGCTCCATGACTTGCTGCAGACGCCAGTGCTTTCAAGATGAAGCTCGCACACCACATCAGTTCAAGCGTCGCGCAAAAACTTGAAAAACAAGTGAAGAGGAAACGTAATAGCAAACTTTCGATGCGCTACATTCACCGTACTCCGGAGCGGCTTCCTCTCCGGTGAATATTTACCCTAGCTGCAATATACGGCGAAGCATACTTTCGTTAGATAATCGAGTGTATCTAAAGAAGGTAAGTTCTCCTGTTTTCCTTTTTTTGTTCATTTTCCTCCCTGCTTAGGTCAGATTACTATGAGAGACAGTTTAGGAAGAACAAAACACAATGCGATTAGGCACAATGAATGTGCTGTTGTTGCTACTACGTGTAAAACATAGCTTCGATATACAGTGTCTATGCAGCTCACATTACCAATGAACAACCACACCCAGCTTTAGGGAATGAAGCAGAGGTTCGTGCTCTGTGAAATTTGGATTAACGCAAGAATGCATGGAGTGTCATATAAAAACGCAAACATATGGAATCTAAATACAGCAGACACATTATAAGGTTGTTTGTTTAATGGTTGAACCTCCCCCCTGAAAAGATATTGCTGGCTACGCCATTATTTCGTGCAATTAGATAATCAAATTACATAACCATATTCCTGGTAAGCTGCCCAAGCGCCTCAACCAAACATGTGTGAAAATCGGCAAAGCTCAATAACTCAACTATGTCTGTTCTTTGACGCAAGAAATAATAATGATGGTGTGCACCATCAAAAGCAAAAGAAAAATGCGGCTTTGGTGTTCTAGCTATTACGTTTCTCTAATATTATTGCTGGCCTCTTTTGTGCAGGAGCCAGGCTGCCGACACAAGAACACAGAGGAAATGTCTCCTAAAACGTGCCGTATTCGCAAGGCATAGTAGAGTTTGCACGACTGTATACAAAAGGACAAAATCTACAGTGAATGCGTTTAGCTGCACTGCATAAGACACGCTATGGTGTCTACTACCTCGATCGTATTTGAGATGTCCTAAGATCTGGAATTTTATTTCGACAGTGCGTCAGCTGCATATGCTTGATTGATGCACACTTTGCAGTTGCACTCTTATGTTTGCCGCATGACTCTTCATGAGCCAAATGTAATGAAGATTGATTATGCCATTTGCAATTCTACTTTGCTAACTTTTAATACATATTTATCGTCATGTTCGTCTTTTCAGGATGAAACAGAATCAAAAACCAGGTCGCGGGATCAAATCCCGGCTGTTGCGGCTGCATTGCCGATGGAGGCGGAAATGCTGTAGGCCCGTGTGCTCAGATTTGTGTGCACGTTAAAGGACCCCAGGTGGTCGAAATTTCCAGAGCTCTCCACTTCGGCATCTCTCATAATGATATGATGGTTTTCTGACGTTAAAAGCCACAAATCAATGAATAAGAGTCAAAAACCACAACTCCGATTCTACAGAAAAGCAGTTCTACAAAAATCAAGCTTGTTTAATATACACCAGCATCTCTCCCCTTCCACGAAACTGAGATAGCGTCGTTACAATGTGCAGACATGCTAATGTTGCAACAATAGCGGATAGTTTATTTATAATGGTTTGAACAGATGTATTCGCGATGTCTGCAATACTCTTGATTATATTTTACCACTTTGTCGCACTGGCATTCGTTAAATCAGCAGAGTAAAGTACTCTACTTCTTGACGACACTTTCTCCAAGGTTCAGAGAACCCACACGGTGGTTTTTAAGACAGAACAGCACCAAAAGTCAGAAGCGGCTTCATTTTTATGATTTCCAAAACAATAAAACATCTCCTATAAATTATGTACTGCCCAGGCTTTATAATGAAGCACACAAACCACGATCATTTTCAAGAGGTAATACCGGCAATCATATTCTACAAATAAAATCCAAAACATATGCGCAAACGTCATTCGTGCATTAACGAATGTGCTTGTGAGCTTCCAGATAAAGGAGACATGAGAAAAATTTTAAGACGTGACCGCTGTGTGAACTTTGAGATGGAAGCTACAGAGATTTAAAGATTACGTCTATTCGAATCTGTCATATAAGAGCATCCACAATGGCAGGGCGAAAAAAAAGATGGAAAAAAATAACTGCTTACTCAGGCATTGTTGGAAGTTTGAAATTTTAAAATTGGAACACAAACACGCAAACACGCACTGTTGACTATATATGCTGCTAAATGAAAAAAACAACAACAAGTTTAAAATGCTGTTTTCTCCATTAGTTGAAGAAAGGCACACGATTGATTTCCTTAACTTGCGTCGCAGTCTAACTCAAACGCTCACCCACGAATATACGATGCCCACTTTTTGACGCTACGCTGGTGTAACCTTGAATAGCATTTGCGAGCTTTGTCTTACAAATTGTCTATTACATGCAGAGGAACAACTACGAAATTGCCTCGTTGAAATTCGCAGTAAATGAGTAAAATAAAGAAAGCATAGTCCCCATAGTCCCCTGAAATTAGAAACTCTGCACGTACTCCCGCAGTGAGAACGAATTTACGTACAAGTAATCTTTGTACACAATGCATTGGTGAAGTCTAAATGCACACGAATTTAATGTGATACAATGTAAAAATCGCTCACTCCACCGCGTTACCCATTCGGTGACAATAGTTATCAGAAGTCTCTCAGCAAAGCGAAAGTAAACAAAGCAACAAACCATCTGTTGTGCTTCCTGTCATCACTCAAGTAGTTCGCTAGTCACCCCGGCGAAAGTAGGGTGTTAAACAACACACACGCAGACACTACCGTAAATATAAACTGCATTTCATAGGCACATACGAGACGAAGTGTACTAAGCACGTAGAAACGTTCAGCAGCAGACGAGACGCCATCATCTGTTCGTTCAGCTGCCTGGGTGTGACAGTTGCCAGACTTGAAGCCGGGGTTTCGCTAACTCTACTGGCTCAAGGCTTAGGGAAATCACGCTACCACTCTAAATGCATGTACTTGGCTGTAATGTTAATTTATAAGAAAGAATAACTAAGAAAAGCATTCATTTATTACATAAAGATTGGCATTTCTCAACCACAATTACGAATACTTGTTTTCAGGCGCTTTTCTCGGCCCATGCAGTTCACTCATGTGGAGGGAGCATTTCCAAGGCCTCCCTTGGCGAATATATTGTCGGGGAGCGTTCATGAAACGCAGCGGCTCCTTGAGTGGAGGAGCACGCTTCGCCTTGACTTCGTCAAGTCGAGGGGAGCCCTTGAGTAAAGGAGCGTTTGTGATACGGGCATAACTCCCATTCTCCTCAACGCTGTAGTGTTTATTTTCTCTCAAGACTCATTGAAACATTCCCTGAAAAGTTCCCAAGCAGAAACAGGGGCGCGGTTTGTAGGGGTAACCCTTCTGATGGCATGTGTCCGGCTGTAGCTCTCTGGTGAGATCATGCATGCGTACCTCAGCCATGAACCGCCTGTTGAAGAGTATGCAAGCTTCGAGACGCCCCAGCAGCGCCTTGGTGTAGCCGTAGCTGAGTGCGCCGCCGGGCAAGTGGCCGTGCGTATCGCGGCACTCGGGCGGTGCCTGTCCAGACTCGACGCGCATCTCTTGTGCATCTTCTCCACGGAACAGCAGCAGCAGCAGGAGGACAACTGCACGAACCACATAACTCAGTCATTTTTTTTCTTTTTTAACAACAAATTGGTCAGTCCACACTATTTTCTGATTCATAAAACCAAATTTCATATCGTACTTTTTATTTGTGAGTTAATTTTTTATGTTTACTCTATTCTCTTTAGAATAATAACGAAACAATTTTAATTAGAGAATGAGTGTGAGCTGTGATTTAATGTTTTATATTTCAAGTGAATGATTACATGGCTTCACTATTTTGCTAAAACAAAACAAGCTGTTGCAGCTATGTAGGTTTTAAAGTGCTCGTGAAATGAAAACTATGTTGTCCGGTTGTAATTTTTCAAGCTTCAATAAGCATTCGATAGGCCAATACTGAAATGTTTCAGTGCAATATTCCCTTAAGTGACAGCCGTAAGAAAGTGCTGTTTTTTAGGGCTCCCAAACGACCATGCGCCCCTACTGGCCACCATAGACACTAAGATGTGACTTCAGTGAAACTTAATGGTAAGAGAAGTTATAAACAGAGCATTAGCTTTCTTTTCTGGGGTAAGTTCAGATTCATTAGGAATGTGAATGACGCTACAATATTTTTGTCAGCTGATACACATGATGAGCTACCTCAGCGTGGTAACAATGCATTAGACAAGATAGAACGTTTGACAAAGGTATATGCATTGTCAGTTATTGTAAATAAAACGATAGCTGTGATTTTTAATTCTGGAAATAAGAAATTCGATGCTCTAGTAAATTCATGGTATAATCGGTGGTATGAATTCCTAGGTCAATAAAATCACTCCGAATTCATTCACATAGCACTTGCAATCGAATGACCATGTTAACACTATTTAATTGAAAGCACCCAGAGAAGTTAGTATACTTAGACTCTACAAGTCCCCTTTACCTTTAAAGATAAAATTTGCTATATACCATGCTTTATTTATTTCACACTTGAACTTCTTTACGTTAGTCTGAGCCCCAACGGCTAAAACTAATTTAACCGAAAACTTCATTAATGCTATTCATTTACAGGATTGAACGTCACTATAAGATCGAACAAAAAAGTTTATTCACTGCAAAAAATACAGCTTCCTTGAAACGTTACCAACTAAAATACCCACATCGTGATCAACCATCTTTGACACTTCCTCGCTTAAGAAGTAACTTTAGACAACAAGAAATGCCTTTTCAGCTATCATTAAAATTAAACAAGTTATATTCCTCAGGTAATAACATAGAAATAATTGTTTTGCTAAACATAACCAATATCTAATTACCACTTCAGTCATTTAAACCTTTTTTCTTCAATATTCCTGGCTAAAATTAAGGAAAACATAATAAATAAGGACAAAAGGATGAAAATACAACCACCACTGCGCGTAAATCTTGTCTTGGGTATATTTGCGGTTTATATATTGAGACTAGAAGAATAAGAATGGACTAGAAGAATAAGAATGAAGTGGAGCACATTCGGCAAGCACTCTCAAATTATGACAGGTAGATTGCCACTATCCCTCAAGAGGAAGGTATATAACAGCTGTATCTTACCAGTACTTAGCTACGGAGCAGAAACCTGGAGACTTACAAAGAGGGTTCAACTTAAATTGAGGACGACGCAGCGAGCAATGGAAAGAAAAATGGTAGGTGTAACCTTAAGAGACAAGAAGAGAGCAGAGTGGATTAGTGGACAAACGGGGGTTAAGGATATCATAGTTGAAATAAAGAAGAGGAAATGGACGTGGGCCGGGCATGTAGCGCGTAGACAGGATAACCGCTGGTCAATAAGGGTAACTAACTGGATTCCCAGAGAAGGGAAGCGGGTTAGGGGGAGACAGAAGGTTAGGTGGGCAGATGAGATTAAGAAGTTTGCGGGTATAAATTGGCAGCAGCAAGCACAGGACCGGGTTAACTGGCGGAACATGGGAGAGGCCTTTGTCCTGCAGTGGACGTAGTCAGGCTGATGATGATGATATTGAGACTTCTGGTTTCTACTTGTTTATATGATTAATGCATTGTGTGTGCGTGTGCGTTTGTGTGGGCGCATGTGTGTGTGTGTTTTGCCAACGCCACCGTGTGTTTTAATGCTGTAAAATTCCTAATTTTGTTAATGTTGTGTACTTTTTACAGATGATGTGTTCTGTGGCTGACGCCGCATCTGGTTAATATATAAAGAGGGGCGAGAACTTAGTCTAGCAGATAGTCGCTTTCATTGTCACCCCCTCTATGACCTTTGTATTGGTAATAATTGAAATAATAATAATGATATTGTAGAGAGGAAGAAGATTATGTGCCGCAGTGGGTCACGCCTTTAGCAAGAGGAGTCAAGCGCGAGCTGTTCCCCCGAGCGTTGTGTTTCCTGCATTGGTTGCTGCCACCTGCTTTCCGCATCAGTAGACCTGCTGTGCAAGTACTACTTACGCCAATAAACGCCGTTTCAGAGTGGTGGAGGTGCTGGGTAACTCAACCTGGAACTCCGCAACAGGAAACTACCTGCCATCCCAGACATGGCTGAAGAAAACACCCAGCAAGGTACGACCCAGCCTCCGATGGTCATCGTGCCCACTGCGCTAGGCGTGCGCAATCCACCTTTTTTCGACGGTAGTGATGAGCAAGACGTAGAAGATTGGCTGTCGACATTTGAAAAGGTAGGCGCAAGCAACAAGTGGGACGACCCTTCGAAGCTGCAATATTTACCCTTCTACCTGAAAGAGCTAGCGAGTCTCTGGTTTAACAACCACTACTCGGAATTCGCCACTTGGGGTGCCTTTAAGCTACGCATTACCGATGTGTTCGGTCGCCCCGAGGTAGGCAAGCTTCACGCTGAACAGCGCCTACGGGGACGCGCACAGCTTCAGGTGGAAGGCTTCACAAGCTACATCGAGGATGTGCTCGACTTGTGCAAGCGCCTTGACCCTTCAATGATCGAGGCAGACAAGATCAAACACATTTTGAAGGGGATAGACGATGACGCCTTCCAAATGCTGCTGGCCAAGGGCCCACGTACCGTGTCCGAACTCGCCACTCTTTGCCAGAGCTTCGAGCAGTTGCGCAAACAAAGGGTCATGACACGGCGGCCAGCGGCTACCGATGAAACTCTCACGGCATTGAGCCTGGGTGGAGACCACAGCACAATCATGTCGGAAATCAAACGATATGTGCGCGAGGAGGTGGCCCGACAAGTTTCGTGCCTGTCGTATCTACCCCCAACGGAACCCTCTTCTGAGCGTCTCGCGCCCGTCATCAGGTAGGTAATACAGGCGCAGGTCTCTGAGGCACTGCCGTCCGTCTCTCAGACAGCACCCGTCACCGCGCCATTGACTTACGCTGCTGTTGCTGCTACTCCATCACGACCTCCGCTTGGGCTGACTCCCCAGCCTGTACGAGTATCAACGACGCCATTTCCAGCAACACAACAGCGCTATAACGGAAACCCTTGGCGCACAGTTGACAATCGCCCGATCTGTTACGCATGCGGATATCCAGGTCACGTGGCGCGCTTTTGTCACCGGCGCTTCGCAACGGGCCCGGCTGCACCTCCGAGGTACCCTGACTACTCTTTACCGGCCCCGTACAACGCGCAACGAGAACTGCCACGTCAATGCGACCGACAATCAGTGGAACGTGACCCGTCACCAACCGAACTATAGACCACCGCCCTGCTGCCGACTACCGACTATTCTGTCCCCGTCGCTCATCCTCACCACGCCACTACCGTTCTCTGTCACCTCTGCGTCGCCGACCGAACCCTGTAGAGACGGAAAACTGACTGCCGCAGCTCCGGAGGCACGAGCTGCGAAATCGTCGCATGGTACAAGTCCTCGCCCGTTCCCCACAAACCTTCTGGAAGTGTTTGTTGAAGGTCTACAAACTCTTGCGCTTGTTGATACGGGTGCCGCCGTATCTGTGATGAGTCAGAAACTCTGCCATTCGATAGGAAAAGTAACGACGCGGCCTTCTGACGTTTTGCTGAATACCGCGAGTGCGCAACCAATTCGACCAGTCGGAACATGTACGGCGAGAGTAAACATTCAGGACGTCCTGTACCACATCGAGTTTCTCGTGTTGACCAGTTGTTCCCACGACATGATACTTGGATGGGATTTTTCGTCACGCCACCACGCCGTAATTGACTGCGCTCGCCCCGCCGCGGTGGTCTAGTGGCTAAGGTACTCGGCTGCTGACCCGCAGGGCGCGGGTTCGAATCCCGGCTGCGGCGGCTGCATTTCCGATGGAGGCGGAAATGTTGTAGGCCCGTGTACTCAGATTTGGGTGCACGTTAAAGAACCCCAGGTGGTCTAAATTTCCGGAGCCCTCCACTACGGCGTCTCTCATAATCATATAGTGGTTTTGGGACGTTAAACCCCACATATCAATCAATCATTGACTGCGCTCGCGCGCAGGTGGAATTTCCTGTGTTTTCAGAAGCGCCATCTACCGACAATGAACGCACTCACCTTGACAAGCTTCTTGTTGCTTCCGACGTTGATGTTCTTTCTCTTGGTGCCATCGTTGTCCCTGTCAATCGCACTGAATTGTCCAGCTCTACCGTGGTGTTCTCCCCATCTTACGTTTTCAGTCGCTTCCACTGTACGTCTCTGCCATACGCTGTTCTGCCACCTCACCAAGATACTTCCGGAATTGTCGTTTGCAATCCTAGCTCTTGCCCTCTCATTTTAAGAGCTCACGAAACACTGGGCTATGTTCATCCTGTTGATGACAACGTTATTGTGCCTATTGAGTCCCACGACCCCGGCCAGCAACTTCAACTGAACGCCGTTACTCCTCTTTTTACGCGGGATGACTACTCCTCGGATATCTTCAATCGTTTCATCGACAGCAAACTTCCTCATGATCAACGGGACCAGCTAATAACCCTTCTGCATGAATTCCGAGATTCATTTGACCTTCGTCAAAAGGCACTGAGTCAAACTAACACCGTCGCTCACACAATCTACACTGGAACGCACCCTCCTTTGCGGCAACGCCCCTACTGCGTATCACTCAAGGAACGAAGTGTAATTGCAGAGCAGGTGGATGATACGCTTCAGCGCGGTGTCATCAAACCATCTTTTAGCCGTGGCCTTCACCTGTTGTGCTAGTGAAGAAAAAATATGGTTCAATTAGATTTTGTGTCGACTACCAGCGACTGAACAAAATTACACGGAAAGATGTATACTGTCATAACCGGCAATACAGAGAACCTGCATGCAAGGGACGCTCATCGGCGTACCTGCCATACGCTGTCCGCGTTCCACAGGAACGCGGGTAATCTCTTGGCGCGCTGCGAGGAACGCGCATCGGCAGCCCTGCTGGACGCAGTCGGCGTCTAGCGCGTGCACGGACGGCTATAAGAGGAGCGTGTCGGGAGTGCGCTGCACTCTCTCTCTCTCTCTCTCTCTCTCTCTCTCTCTCTGGACTTCACTGGCCCGCTCGTCTCGAGTGCGCTCTGGGCCCTTGTGATGGAAAGGCGCGTCTGTACGCTCTCGTTGCAATGTACTTCTCTTGCAAATATGTAAATTAAACGCATCTTCTACTTGTTCGTGAGACGCGTCGCAAGAGTCGTCCTTCGCCGGATCCTGGGTGGCAGCCTCAACCCCTCCCCGGGCATATCAACTGGTGGCAGTGGTGGGATCGGTTCGTGTTCTTTCCTGGTACCGATGCTGGTTAGCGCTCACTTTCCGTAGAGATTCTGCCAGGTGTTTTGGATAGATGGTAGTGTTTATGCAAAAGGGTAGATTAGTTGCTGCTTTGTGAAGGATTGGGTTTATGAGAGGTACCTTCACGGCAGTTTGAGCAACGGAAGTCTGCAAGGGGTGACCATGGACTTGAACAAATTGAGTAAACCGGATTTAGTGCTGTTGTGCCTGGAGCTGGGGATTGAGGTGGTGACTATACATAGAAAGCCACTTTAATTACAGGCAGTTAAGGATTCTGGCGCGGATGCGGAGGAGCTCGCCGAGTGCTGGGAGCTAATTCAGGAGAGGATGAAAAGGGCACTAGAAGTCGAAGAGCGAGAGTGCCTTATGTTTGAAAAAGAAACCGTCAGGCGCACAGAAGAAGCGGAAAGCCAAGAAAGGGAGCTTGAGCGCTTGCGGCTTCAGCTTAAGATTGCAGAGATTCAGGCAGGCGCACGAGTGAGCATGAGGGACCTCTTGCACCCTTACAAAGAGAGCGAGGAGGAAGGTCCCATGCTGTAAACGGACAATGTGAGGAGCCCATCCCCTGAGAACGATGAGGGCGCATCACAAGTGTCAGATGAAGAGGGTGGGCTGGAAATTGTCGAGGATAGAAACTCAAGTGATGGTGAACAGGGTGAAGATGAAAGTAATAGAGCCAAAGAAAATGATGATGGTGGTGATGAAGCAGGAGATGACGATGAGGCGGAGGAGGGTGGTGTGGAGGAAGAGGGGGAAGAAGAAAAACCAGAAGTGCAGCCTCAAGCTGAAGAGGAAGAAAGCTTACAGACAAACCCTCAAGCGGAAGAAACAGGTTCAGTGCCTGTAGAAGACACTCCAGCATCACCTACCGAAGAGGACTCTTCCTTCATGCATGATGCGCCTGCGTCTTCCCCTGCTGAAGAAAGTCCATCATCTCCACTAGAAGCGACACCATCTCCTCCTACCCCTGTTGATGTGCCGGCATCGCCAACGGAAGATGTGGTCCCTGGGGCATCAGCTATTGAGAGTGGAGAGGACTCCTCGGCACCTGTCTCTCCTGAAGAAGTGCCAGCAGATGAGCAATCAGCAGAGGTTTCAGGAGAAGGCAAAAATGGGCAAGAAAACGACGAAAAGGGGATCGCAGACATCAATGAAGGTGACGAAGAAGACACACAGGACAATGCATCTTCGCCAAAGAAAATTGAAAGTCCCGATGCTGAACCGGAAGAAGGCCTTCTTGAAGATACCAGTAATGGCATGGAGGATATATCGGAGCCTGGTAGCACAGATGGCTTGGTGGACAATCTTGAAGCTGTTGTCAGGGAGCAGGAGGAGCCTTGGCGACAAGAGTCAAAGGGCAGTGAATGCTCAGTGCTTAAGGAGCGGAAGACAAAGCACAAGAAAAAAACTTGTCAGCATCGGAAGCACCGGCGTCACCGGCGGACGAACAGCAATAATGAGGACCGTGAAGAAGGTGAGCTTGTTGAAGAAAGGTCTCCGTCATCTTCAAGCCGACGACGAAAGGAGGTAGAGACAACTGTTGATGACTTGGCTGAGTTGGCACCACGCATCAACATTTCAGAGTTGCCGCGAATACCCAACCTCAAACGTAGTGAAAAAGTAGCAAGTCACGCTGCTGGCAGTGAATCAAGCATTGGAGGTGATAGGACAAGTGCAACTGCAGCATCGCATGTCGAAGTGAAGCGCACAAGTGTGTTGGGCCGGGTTGACTCTGGCAGTGATATCAGCTGGAAGAAGCTGTCAAAGCACTCGCAGGAGCATAGCTTTGAGCTCAAGTACCGCAAAGGCAGAGACAACGGTAACGCCGATGGCCTGAGCCGAGGTTTTCCGTAGCTGAAGAGCTAAAAGAAACGCGGAACTGCACAATTCTTTTGAGTCCTTTGTCAGACGCAAGCACTACTATTTAGCCTTGTGCGTGTGTGCGCGCGTTTTTTTCTCTTTGTTCGAGTTCACTTGGTCACCACCATAGTGTAGTCTTCTGTTGTGCAATAAATTATGAGCCTTGCAGCAAGTTACACCTGGTGATTCTCGGGAGAGCTGAGTGTTCTCAGTGTGGGTGTCCGCTTTGAGAGCGTCATCCCCGCTAAAGGCAGGCAGAAGATTGCTATGCCTACCGGTCCAACAGCATGGCATGGTGGACACGACGAACCAGCCATTGCGGACTGTGGCCTTTCGGTAGGGCTTTCTGCTTCCTTCGGCCAGTGGACGACCAGGCAGCGGTGACGGGGCCTTTGCAGCTGTGGACAGTCCCATGCTGTGACCAAGCGTGTGATGTGCTGGGCCTCTTTGCGACGTCGAGGTGCGCCTACCGTAAGACCTGCTATGTGGTGAGTGTCTCTGTGTTGTGGTGGACAGTGTTGCACCTACGGAGACGGACTACGGCCACTTCAGGGAGCAGCGCCACTGCAGCCCTTACGTGACCTCTTCGGACGGCGGACGAGCTGTCATAACCGGCCATACCGGGAACCGGCATGCAAGGGACGCTCATCGGCGTACCTGCCATACGCTGTCCGCGTTCCACAGGAACGCGGGAAATCTCTTGGCGCGCTGCGAGGAACGCGCATCGGCAGGCCTGCTGGACGCAGTCGGCATCTAGCGCGTGCACGGACGGCTATAAAAGGATCGTGTCAGAAGTGCGCTGCGGTCTCTCTTTCTCTGGACTTCGCTGGCCCGCTCGTCTCGAGTGCGCTCTGGGCCCTTGTGATGGTAAGGCGCGTCCGTGCGCTCTCGTTGCAATGTACTTCTCTTGAAAATATGAAAATAAACTCATCTTCTACTTGTTCGTGAGACGCGTCGCAAGAGACGTCCTTCGCCGGATCCTGGGTGGCAGCCTCAACCTCTCCCCGGTCATATCAATACCCTCTTCTCCGCATCGACGACGCTATCGATTGCCTACAAGGTGCCGAATTCTTTTCTTCGCTGGACTTACGTTCAGGTTACTGGCAGGTTTCGATGGCAGAGTGTGACCGCCCCAAAACAGCGTTCGTTACGCCGGATGGCCTATACGAATTCACGGTTATGCCATTCGGTCTGTGCAATTCACCTGCAACGTTTGAGCGAATGATGGACAGCATTTTACGCGGCCTTAAATGGCAGATATGCTTATGTTATCTGGATGATGTTATCGTATTTTCTCCTGATTTCCCTACCCACGTCGACCGTCTGCGCACCATTCTTCAGTGTCTTACCAAGGCAAACCTCCAGCTTAACCTAAAGAAGTGCCGCTTTGGGGCTCGCCAACTTACTATACTTGGTCACGTTGTGTCAAAGGATGGAATTTTCCCCGACCCAGACAAACTTCGAGCTGGTCACGCCATCTACAGACAGGCGATGCCTTGGTCGTGAGACTGTCCACGTGAGTCGTCTCAAGCCCTATCACGACCCACTTCTAATCTCGTCACCTTGACTTGCCAGGATGGCTCGTCTTCGTCGCCGGGGTATTGTAGAGAGGAAGAAGATTATGTGCAGAAGTGGGTCACGCCTTTAGCAAGAGGAGCCAACCGCGAGCTGTTCCCCCGAGCGTTGTGTTTCCTGCGTCGGTTGCTGCCGCCCGCTTTTCGCATCAGTAGACCTGCTGTGCAAGTACTACATACGCCAATAAACGCCGTTTCATAATAATAATAATAATAATAATAATAATAATAATAATAATTGGTATACTATATATATATATATATATATATATATATATATATATATATATATATATATATATATATATATATATATTCAATTCACAATATATCCTAATTCACTTCTAAAAGTGTAGCTGAATGCTCGCTCTCGTGATCTAGGCCCATCGATTGTGCAGCAGCACTGACGTTTCAGAATAGGAGAAGCAACGGCAGTTGTCGCGACGTCACACCAGGTCTGTAGTGACGTGAGTGACCTCACCCATCTCCGAAACGAGCATACCCAACGTACCAGCAATGCATTGCTTGCTGTATTACTCGCAGAGTTTCGACGGCTTCTTGGCTAAGTGCTACGCATCGAAACCTGTGAAGGCGCTCTGTTTTTTTGGCGCTTGTGAGGCACCTGTGTGTGATAGCAGACAAAATTCAGCACGATGCACGTCACAGCCTTGAGTGATCACGTGGCTAAGCCACCTATGCATCGACGTCACTGCCCAACTAGTCACTGTGAAACCGAAACCGAAAAAGGTCCACATAAGTAGAGCAATATTGAATTATTTAGCGGAAATACGCGAATCTTGGTGCGTGCATTATGCTTCTTGGAGCTGAAGGAAACACAGCAAAGAACACGCATTTCACAAGTTTGGTGGCACCACCCCTTTAAGGCGTGGCGATCAAAATGGTATGTTGCCACGAACCTCAGTCAGCTATGGATCAGAAAACATCGCTTCGTCGCCATGTTTTGTGGACTACAGATACTTTTATTTGGCCTAAAGTGACGTCAGCTGTACAGTTTAAAGAAGCACGAGTATGGCATCGAAATTCTGCTTCTATAGCTACTTAATGCACCCGTACGATGGAACGTGTCGAGGTATAGTGTTGAATGAAGGGCCAGAATTCTGAATTCACGCATAGCTGAAAATTTCTGGAAAACACTTCTCGACCCCCCTTTAAAGAAGAATAACATGTAGAAGAAGGCGTTTAATTAAAATACAGAGGAGAGGTTGGCCTGCAAAGAGGGTTTCTTGCCTGCTACTCCCTTCGGGGGTAAGAAGATAAGGGACAGATAGAAAAAGAGGAGTGCACGATGAGGGGTTATCCTGATATAGCACAATGAGTCACTGCCCACACAGTCCCGTTTGATGTAGGACACGCACAAAAGTATCTACATTAGCTTCATTAGCAAGTGCTCTAAAGACGGGAATCTAAGCCTGTCGTGCTTAGAAATGCAAGCGACCCCTTTAAGCTGCATTGGGCGTGACCTATACGTTCCCAAGCACCCAAAAGCTTCTCTTCCGAAAACGGTCGGCAGTCTAGGTGATCTGTGAGGTGCTTCAGAGATTTTCTGTCGACCGCGTATCGAAGGCCCACGCATAGAATGGAATTATTAGTGTCTGGCACGTGACACAAATTGCAGCTAGGATTTTGCTCCTGTCCAATCTTGCGTAGGTATCACCGTGTATATGGGCACTCAGTTGTCTATGACGCTCAGCAGTCTATGCAGTAGCGTCACTTGGTCTCTCCTCAGTCGGAACGGAAGATGAAAGCACGACCAGAGTCAAGCCTGTAAATGCGCTCGTAGTGATAATCCAGATCATTTTATAGTCGTTGAATAGATGTTTTCATACCGTTAGACAGCAAGGCGTCGATGTCTTATCGGGAAAAGTGAATTGATATCAGTTAGCCAATAGTGTGCACCTTTTTCGCTGTTGCATCAACTTGTTCGTACCCAGCTACGCCACAATGACCCGGAATCTATTGCAACACAATGGCATGTCCAAATTGAAATGCCTCATTCATCATATTCATTATGTCAAACACCAGAGCACTACATGCAGCTTCTATTTAGCTGATGTACCAGCGTGGAGTGGCAAAATAGTCTCCTTTTCGCTGGACTCAGCTCTAAAATGTAGCACGCAGCATGTCAGACGGTGGTCAGCTCGGCGGCAGTAGATGATGTTCGGTGTGCTATATTGAAGCGTTGTGTGATTCCCACTTGAAGCACAGGGAAAGCTGCTGCTTTCAACCCTTTAAATACTGCAATAAAACTATGGGCCTAGTAGCACATATTTCTGAAGTACAATCAACAGCACAAACACAACATTTTCGCCCCACCACGGTGGTTTGGCGGCTAAGGTACTCGGCTGCTGACCAGCAGATGGCGGGATTGAATCACGCCTGTGACGGCTACATTTTCGTTGAAGGCGAAAATGCTGTAAGCTCGTGTGTTCAGATTTCGGTGCATGTTAAAGAACCCCGGGTGCTCAAACTTTCAGGAGCCCTCCATTACGGTGCCTCTCATTATCATAAGGTGGTTTAGAGACATTGAACCCCATGTACCAATCAATCAACACACAAGACTACCCACATAGAAAAGACACGACACATACGAGCGCTTCCTATCAACTGCTTTATCCTGCCAGTTGTCAATGCATATTTAAGCCCAAGGTGACCTTACTGTCTATGCGTACACAACAGAAATGTTTAAACAAGTGGTACATGATTGATGACACGGTAAACGGTGATGGTAAACAATGGTGACATGGGTGTATCAAATACGGGAAGACAAGAAAGAATAATTCGATAAATGCAGGGCCAAAAAAGTTTCGCTGATGGAAAGACGACCTATTTTCATACTGAGAAAGCTTTAAATCCAGCCACGTATGCTCATTCTGGCTTCTGCCTAAAATCTACGTCTGTTCAAATCACACTTCACAACTACTCCATGAGTTCATATGGGCCACAAGATGGGCGCCTTTATCCGCGTTCTTGTTAACTTTTTATGCGTATTCTTTGGGTGCATTGTTGAAGCATCTCCCAGTTTGACCGATGTAGGTCTTACCACATGGGAGCGAGATGGCATGAAAAACGCGTCGACGGCACGGGCAGCGTAGGAGACACCGTGCCGGGTTCGGCATCCTCCGTGCCGGGTTCGGCACACCGCAGGCACGGAAGGATTGCTTCGACAGCTTGTTCGGCACAGACAATGTCATAGGGACATCATATCTTCCGACAACCTTCTTCAGCAGATGGGTGTATTTTTTTTCTATATCATAGACTCAGCCAGTGCTGTCGAGAGTGACTTAGAAAAAGCTGCTGCCACAAATCGGCAGCAGGTTTCTCGAAGTCGCTTTCCCTAAAGCTTTCTTGCGTCGTGAGAAGGCACTATTTTCTGTGAGTCCATTCTATGGCAGAAATTAA